GAATCAGAATTTACTGAAACAAATATTATTTGTCGTAATACTGTATGTGCTAATGTTAAACAAATACGTATTATCACAATACCAAGTGTTGATCAAGTAATGTTTAAATTTAATATTATTTTTCAAAGTTTCAATTTTTTATTTTTATTATTTAAATAGGATTGGTTAGGATTTTTTCTAGATGGTTGTATTATATTTCAAATATTTGCTGTACAAGAAGAAGGCAAACCAAATACTGGTTTATTTCAAATGACAACACGAGTAATGAAAAAGATGATAATAACGGGATATATCCATCTTTCATTTGATTTTGATTGATTATTTTTGCTATATAAGTTCTATTAATATAGACATATGTAAAAATGTTGACTCTTTCAGCTGACTATTAATTAAAATTAAAAAATTAAAATTTCTTTTTTCTTTTTTTTTTGTGTTTAAGGATTTAAAAAAAATGGAACAAAAACAAGATAATACAAATTTCATGCCAATTAGTCATGCAAATTCAAGTTTACCAGGTGATTCAAAATTAAAATCTGAATTAACACTTCTTCAAAGAAAATTTTATCGTCTTGAACAAAAAGAAAAACGTATTCAAGTAATAAAACAAAAAAAAAAAAATTCTTAATAAATTCTTTGTATTTTTTATCTCTTTTAGCAATTATGTCAAGAATGGACAAATAATCATGATTATAATAAATTTTATAAATTAATTTCAGCTATTGCATTTAGTTCAGGAACAAAATTAAAAGCAACATCAACAGTTGTAAGTTGATTTCTAATAAAAAAAATTTATTGTGCATATGTCTTAATGTGATATACTTATGCTTATATTCTATAACGCTCTACTGATAGATATTGAGTGGTTATCAATTAACTCGAAATATATCTGGGGTATTTTAATTTTGTCTTAAAATAACAAAAATATATATATATATGTATATATTTTTAAATAGAAATGCACATTAATAACACACTTAGTATGCACATATTATTTAATCACTGAATACACATGCACACACATTAGAAAAATAAAGATAGGCGAAATATTTTTCATCTTAGGCAAATAAAGAAAATCCTGTCGATGTTTATTTATTTGGAAATGAAGAACAAGAATATATCAAAGATATCGAACAACCAAATGCAGATAGACAAAAACATGTAAGTATATAAGAAATAATATTTTTCTTTTTTTCGATTTATATTTCTACAATGTCGAATATTAAAACTTAAATTCATTTGAATAGACAATCAAATTCTCTATCAAATGTATTCGATATTAAAATTTCATAGACAAACTATAAGAAGAAGGTTTTGGAGAATTGTAGTTTTTTCAGGTCCCAGAAAACTATGTGAAGATTAGTTGTTAATAGCATCATCTTAAAGAATACAAAATTCTGTATAAAATGAAAGGTGACCGTATTCAAATCACATTTTTTTGTTGTTGTTTATATCTTTTGAAAGGGAGGTCGTAGAAAATGCGGCGATCTCTTAATCTATTCAGAATTTAATTCTCTTTAAGATGGTACTATGCACAACTAATGTTTATACAAACTTCTAGGACCTGAAAATTACCGTATTTGGTCTTGCACAAATTTTATTGACTATTCAAATCACTATTTCGATTTGATTTTAATTATTCGATATCGTAAAAAGTAATGAAAAATACATTAGTTTTCCCTTTAGAGTCGAAGTATTCCAAGTCTTTGAAAACAAGAAATGTTTCAAATCAATATTTTCTTGTTTCTAATTGATTCTAAACTAAAATATAACACGAATACATAATTTGCTCTTAGTTTAGGATTACTTAAGAAGATTAATATCTCATAGCAAGATATATGACATCATTGAGAATCAAGATTTGGTCTTTTTTTTTTTCTCTATCAATATTGTTTTATGCAAAAACAACAAAAGTTCTCTTATGTATATCTTTAGTGGGACGAATATTATCGAAAAACTGCATTAAAACAAAGACGTAGTTCAATAACATCCCGTATAGGTATGAATCAACAATCAACTATTAATCTCATGTCATTAACAAGTAATAGTCGGGGTACTTTCACACTAACTACCGATGGATCAAATCAAAATGGTCAACAAAATTATAATGACCATTCATCAATATTTTTTTTGAATGCAAATTCAACATCAAATCAAAAGAAAACATATGAAGAACCTAAAAATGATAATATTGAACAATTAAATGAAAATAATCTTCCTATGACAAATTCAAAAACAACATCGAAACATAATGGTACTAAAAGTACACCAAAAACTGAAACATTTACTAATGAAAAAAACTCAACAGTTTGTACTATTCAATAAAAATCAATATTTAATAATCGAACAAGTCCAAATGAATTAATAAAAAGAAAAAAAAAAAACAATTTATGCACTCTAAAGCACGTTTAGCTTATTCTTCTTCTATGGGATGCTCTGCTTGTGTTATATTGATAATCTAATTTTATATTATTGAAAATTACTTATAAGTTAATACAAAAAAAATATTATTTATATTCATTTAATGTATTTTAGGAAGATTGGAACGATTCATTTGATGAAAATTCTTTTTCCTTATAAACAACTGCATAATGACTGTAGATGTATATATAATTATATATATTTTCTTTATTATTTATATGTATATTTATTGAATCGTTAATTTTTATTCGATATTAATACTTTTTATTTTTTTCTTTCATTTGCTTTGACAAATAAGAAAAAGAATATTGTTGAATCATTTGTATTCTCATCATAATATCATTAATATTGAAATAAAATTTTTAAAATTACTAATAAATTATATATACGAATTAGATATGTTCATTAAGTTTTTTGGCTTACGAGAGAAGTATCCAAGATGTTCATTTCTGTTTTGTTTTATTCATATCTTATTCGATAGAGTATATTGAGATAAGAAAAAGTTTAAAAGAGTTAGAATTCATGGCGTATCGATGAAAAATTATGACAATTTTAATGAAATTTTTACTGAGAGTCAAGCATTCCGAAAAAAAGATCAAAATGAAGAATTCTGATTCAAAAATTTTGCCTTTAGATAGATTTAATAGTCATTAGATAGTCCTGGAGTTTTCAATGAAATCATACATGTCTTTCTGGAAATAATTAATGTTCAAATAGAGTAGATCACAGATGCAAACGATCAGTTGTATTGACGACTGATGTCGGTACTGGTTCCATCTCTGAAGTAGATTATTATGTCCTCCTACGGTAAACGGCTGTGTTTTTTAAAAATGAATATCTCGAGAAAGTATGTTCGTTTTCGTTAAAATTTTCAAGGCTATCTAATGACTATTAGATTGATCTCTAGGCAAAATTTCAGATCAAAACTCTTCACTACGGTTTTTCGGAATGCTTGACTCTCTCAGTAAAAAAAAGGCCATAACTCTTCACCAACATGTCGTAGGTTCGAACCATTTTTGTCGTTTTCTTATTTTAATATATTCTATCAAATGAGGTATGAGTCAAAACGAAGTAGGACATCTTGGATATTTCTCATTAGATACGAAACAAATCGCATGGAATTTTACTGTTGGTTCAAGTGTAAACTTACTTCATAAGTTTCTTAAGACTTCTCGATTTGATCTTTTTTTTTCTAAATCAATAAAGTTGATAGTTTCTATTCAAATGTACACTTCAAGAAATTAAAATTTTAGTTTTCAAAAGAAATACATATGTTCGAAAATATCTATTATTTGAAAAAAGAAAAAGGATTGATCGATATTGTTTGAACATATCAACAATAAATCACAACTGTCGTTCGTGTTGATCATATAATTATATGTCATTGTAAAAAAAAATAATTTTGATCTATTTATATTTTATCATTCAAGTCAAACTAATAATCTAATGTTTGAGATAATAATTATCCTACTAGTATATTTATTTTAATTTTTAGATATCAAATATTATCTACATATTATTATTGATCTGTTTAATAATATATATCGTTAAGGAACTTGATATAAAATATCAAGGTCGCTATATTTTTTCTATCTTTTCTGGTACAACATTCACTATCAATAAAAGAGGTCAAACCTATTCATCATATTTTTTATTATTTTATTATAAATTATTATTATAGACATAGTGACAACTGTAATAAATTATTGCAAGAATTCTATATCTAAACTTATATATTTTTTTTGTTATTGTTATAAATATCAATAGAACAATGATTTTTGCTTTCCTATAACAATATTCATATCCTAGTAGGATACAATGAGATAAATAACTAGAACACATATACGCTATATATTGGATATGTTTTTTAACGTGCGAGTATTATTTCTTTTTTATTTGTTGATGATATTTGAGGACATGTCGAGAGACGGATGCAACTAAGATCATTTATCTTCCAAAAATGTATCGACGTAGTCGTTATTGTTGTTGCGATTATGAATCTTTGCATGACATGACTTTCAAAAGCAGAAAAAACTACGATGTAAACACTAACAGAGTCGATTGTTATTTAGAGTATTGAAGACACATAGATCACAGATGGTCGTAGGAAGACAACAATGAGTTTCATCGTTCCATCTTTATCATCATCATTATATTTTAGTGTGTTCTGATAATTGCTTGAGATTCCACTAAGAGAGTCCATATGTGGTCTATGATATAGAATGCAAAAAAAAAAAAGAATTGATTGAAGGATATTCGATCCCAATGAGAGGAAAAGACAAGCTATTGCTACTGCTGCTGTTTTTGTTGTTGTTTCTGTTAGTTACCAAGTTATCTCGATAAGCAAGTTTGCTATTTAGATGAGAAAATATGTCGTCGCCGTCGTCGTCGTCGTCGTCGTCGATCAGAAGAAAAGAAAGTTCAAATAAAGATATCTAGTATATACTCGTTTTCTGTTCTGCAAAACCTCATACTACAAAAGAAGGATACATAGATAACGAGAGAAGAGAAAAGAAGGACGTTTTATAGTTATTTGGATTGGTTTTATTCATTACAAGATTCTAGGCTAACAATAGTGAATAATGGCGGGAACACAAATGATCACAGTTACACTTCAACGTGATAGTTTACAAACTCCATGGGGTTTTCGATTACAAGGAGGTGCAGATTTTTGTATACCCTTTACTATTAATAAAGTAAGTAAAAATCTTCTTTAGTTTTTTAGTATTTTGCCATTTACATTATACTAATATTGATATATAGATCACCGCTGGTAGTCCTGCTGATGGTATGCTTCATCGTGGTGATCATATCCTTGAAATCGATCAAAAACCCATTAGTTCAATATCTCATACGGAAGCACTTGAACTTGTACAACGTGCTGGTGGTCAAGTAACATTTCTTATAGAAAGGTTTCATTGAATAACAAATGAGAAAAAATATATATATATTACTTTTAATTAATACTTGTATGTTTTTTTGTTGTGTTTGATTGTTCTTTTTCTTAGAGGACCAAGCCCTCTTGGATCATTTATGCATAATCAACGCCCATTTTCAGCTATGCCTTGGTCTTTAGCAAATGCTACTTCATATCTGGACAAGAATTTTCATCAAGCTTGGCCTACATTAGTCGGTCCTCAAAGTCCTGCGGTAAATTAAAAACAATATATATGTCAAATATTTCGAATATATTTATTTTCTATAGGCATTTTTTCGAAGTCGAGGATTGGAACGAATACCTGATCCTAAGCCACTACTTAGTCAAACAGGTAGTCCTCTCCTGCCTGGTCCTGTTCCTTCGGTATCAACTAAAACTCGTGGTTATACTAGACCACCTGTTTTTCATACGGAACCAACTAACTTAACCAATACATCACCATTTCCGGTTTCATCTTCTCCTGTTCGTTTTACTTATCCAAGTTCAACAAATAATAATCGCAATCAGACAGTATCAACAACAACATATCGACCAGCTTGGAAAGGTTCGTTAAATGAGGAATCTCATCTTTATGTACCTTCTTATCAAAAGAAGGTTCCAGTACAAACAATAATTCAAAAACAAAATCCAAATAATCTAATATCTCAACGTACTTATCAACAATATACAACAATAACAAGACAACAACAACAGCAACAACAACAACAACAACAACAACAACAACAACGACAACAACAACAACAACAAC